TCTCTCTCTCTCTCTCTCTCTCTCTCTCTCTCTCTTATTGCCGCCCAAGGAGGTGGTGCCCACATGCTTAGGCAGTGGGATTTAGAGGAGGCGGCTTAGCCCCCCTCCTGTAGGTTTGAACCGGCCCCTCCTGGGCCGGTTTGGGCTGAACCGTAACAATATGCTTGCAGCATATTACTCTTTTGTTTGGCTGTTCCGGCTGGGGGCATGTTCAAAGCTTTATTAACACATGATTTTTAGCCCCTTCATTGGCACTTATTAAATAATTTATGCATTCTGAAATTTATTAGTAGAAGTTTTACAACTAACTGAAATGAGTGCTAAAGTTCTGTTGCTTTCTAAGCTTATTTAAGGACCACATAATATTCTTTTGTGATGCATGCTTATGTAATGGGACTCTGTATACTCACTTGATTTCAGCTTGAAAGTTGTTATTCCATGAATTATCCTTCGGCTATCATAATCCCAACCATTATATGACAATATAAAAGTAAAATCCTTCTGTGGCACAATTGCTTCATCCAATTATGTTAGCCATCGATTCCTGTACTTATTTGTATTATTATCCTGATATGTTTTTCAAATTGTCTAGTAGTTTTTTTGGTTTTTTGCAAACAATATTGGTGAATTCATCTGCTAAATGATTTGCTTGAATTTGCGGAAGATTTTTGAAGTCTTTGGGATGTACATGCTTCATTATTGATGCCTGATGTCAATCTCTAATTATTTTATCGAGCATTTCACATTCCAAAATAAATCAAAGTCATGGACTTCTTATTTTCACATGCAGCAAGTAACTGCAACTTTGTGCTTCCGCGGACAAAGGGTATTTTTGCACAATGCAGTTGGCTATTTTGGAGATGCTCCTATCGAAGCCTCTGGTGACTTTGGCATAAATCCTGATAATGGGGAATTTCATTTGATGTGTCAGGTAATCTCATTATGCTTTTTGATCATCTTAAAGTGGAAATTTAGTTGAACGAAATGGGTGCTAAGATCCAGCTGGCTTGTGGTTCGTCTGGGATAGCTTTTTTATGACTTTTCTTCCAAAAAGTTGTTAAAACTTTTGTAGGCTACAACTTTCTTGCAGCTTTTTCAATAAATTGTAGTGATAAATAGTTTTTGCAGCCAGATTTATCATAATAGTGTATTACCTAGAAAGAAGCTATTCTTTGATTTTTCGAAAGGAAAGCAATAACAAAATCTACAGTAATTTTTTGACAATTGTTCTACTACAGCAGCTCTACAACTTTTAGAAACAGTAGCAACCACATCAAATAAACTCTTAGTGTGTCGTGTACGTTCCCGATACTTACCATATGATGGATTCTGGCACCCCTGAAATGGAATAAATAAACTTTTGAGGCCTTTAAGTCTTTGTTAAATTCATAGAATTGGAGAGGGAAAAAGCTTAATTTTATTATACAATATTATCCCTATTTATAGATCTATATAAGATATCTTAATAAAGAAACAAATAAATACATAATCATGCATAATTGCCCTAATATAATCCTTCCTAAACTAGCCACCCGAATATGGAAGGAGATCGGTATTGTTACGACCCGGCCCGGTGAGCTCGCGTAGGCGAGGCGAGAATGAATGGTCGAACGGTAAGTCAAATATCTAATTCCTAAAACTATCACCTTAACATTTGAAAGAGCCTCTAAAACATCAAATTGAAAATACATAAACATAAAATCAGACAACTATAAAATTACCTTTCCTCAGACGCTTCTCTTTTACAGTAACTACACCTGAAAAATGTTAACAACTAACATTAAGCCAGAGCTCAGTAAGTAAAACACGATTTTAAACTACAGTAATCAAGGCAAAATGAACAATATGCTAAATGCCAATTTCATTGAATATAACATAAATTCATTTATTAAAAACATGCCATTAACATATACATGAATTCATACATTCATATCCTTTCATAATTCATTGCCATATCCATATCATTATTCATAACTTTTTCTTTTCGTATATATTACAATCGTCACAGGAGCCACCGTCTAGTACCATAAATGTACTCCTTTTCAATTTCATTTTTCATATCCTTTATCATTTTAACGTGCACTAGTACAACGTTCCCAGCTAGTACCATCAGAGGGTGAGCTCCATCATTTCAGCATGCACATACAAGCATTCAATATAACATTCATATCATTTCATTTCATCTCATTTCTATAATACATTAACTTTGCATAATAATGTCACAAGATGTATCATATAAATTTCATGATCAACATGCTTGATCTATTAATCATATAACTAGAGAGACAAAATTTATTACTGTAAATAAAGAAACATGCATACTTACAGAAGTTAGGATTTCGATTTCTCTTTGCTAATCCTCCTTCCTTCGAGGCCACCACAAATAACACCTATAAGAATAAATTTTTCCTTCAAAATTATTTATAAAAAAATCTAAATTAATGTTCTAATTCTATTCCTAATCTACCCTAAGCTCTTTCTCTCTTTCTCATTTAAAACATAAGACATTAAAAAAATTTCTAAAATCTGATATTTTAGTCTATTTACTTATTTTAACCTAATTAACCCTTTACCCTAAACCTAACTTAATTTAAATAAATTCCTATTTTTGGATTTAACTATATTTTAATTTATAAAAACTCCAATTTTATGAAAATCATAATTTTAGCCCTCTTTAAACCTCATTAAAAGTTTTATAAGTCATAAAATACTTTTTATTTTTGGATTTACTTAAAAGCCCTAATTTTAGAAATATGAATTTCATTCATATCTTAATTTAGCATGCCAAAAGTTCACTATTATTTAAATAAATAATTAAAACTTTAAATTTTCTGATTTAACTTAATTAAAAAATAGGAAAATACCATTTTATAAGAAAAACTCAATTTCTTTTCTTAAAAACCCTCTTAGGACCCTTAGGAACAACATTTGCAAAAGCACTTCAAAAAATTCCAACTTTAGAAAAAGCCCTAATTTTCTAACTCTACATTTTTGAAGAAAAGGCCTCATTCCCATGCATAAAATCATCTCTTAAACTTATCCTAACATTCTCTTAAAGAAAAATAATGTTTCCCCTCAAACCCTAAATTTTTCATTTTAGGAAAACTTTGCAAGGAAAAGAGAAATACATAAATAAAGCATACCTTAGTCTTCCTCTTATTCTCTTCTACAATTTCCCTATCTTTCTTTGCCGGAAAACTCGCCGGAGCCGCCATTCGAAGTGCTCCCCGCTGCCTTGCCCGTCCACCCTCTTCTCCCCCTTCGGTTCGGTCGTACGAAAGAATGAGGGGACCGAATAGAATCTGTCCCCTTAAGGCTTGGGAGTTGAGAGAAAGGTCCAATTACCTATTTGCCCTCACTTAAAACATCCATGCTTGAATAAACATTAGGGGTACTTTGGGTATTATGAGACTTATCTAATTTTTATTTCCTAAATTAAGCAAAATTAAATATAAGTTTTATATATCTAATATCATAGAATTTTATAAAATTAATTTTGTCGAAATCCGACAACTTTGAATTTTTCACTTAAAACTTGTCGCGATGCATCGAAAAGCGTGCGAGGTCTAAAACGGCATTTTGCGGGTTTTACAGGTATGATCCAGGTGAGCCTCCAACGGATTTCCATCCTGGCTATGGGATCAAGGGCTAAAGGGAAGGCTAAGATTTAACATCGTGATCCAAGTGAACCTCCCATGGATCCTCATGCTGGCCGTGGGATCAAGGGCCAAGTGATGATTGAGATTTTAACACTCCTCCTCAAGTTGGATAATACAAATCAATCATTCCTAGCTTGGTAATTAGTCTAAAAAAAGTAGAGTTATCAAGTCCATTGATGCGTCATAGAGATCTCCATTTGGTCAAAGCTTTGGGATGAATTATCTTTAGTCATTGTGGTGGCAATCAATCAAGCTTGCAAGGTGCAAAACAACAATGAAGGCTGCATTGAATAGTAGCTCTCAAGATACCGGAAATGACAAGAAAGGATGGTATTGGGACAACAGGGATAGTGAGTTAATTATCCTTTAGATATGTCTCCCTCGGTTCTCAAGAGAAGGCCGACTATGAAGGCACGACAATAGAAAAAACAAAAAAAAATTATTTTTAGGGTTGTGACAAGCTACAGCAGAAAACAAGTCTCAAGTAGCTCAGTACTTGGCATGTGGATCTCCTCCTTCCCATGCCATCCAACTCCACCTGAACCAACTCCTTTTCGATCTGTCTAGTATAGTTGCATGCAAGGCACATGTTTATTACTCGATCGTTCTGCTTGCTTGATTCCTAGGTCACACAAACTGCTTGGTTCGCTCGGCTTCACGTACACATGGAGCTGCGCGATCCTTCTTGATCACTCGCTTGGTCCCCTTCTTCACTTGGTTCAGCCTCCAGGTAGGCATGCACGAGAGACTCACGTATTCGCTTATTCTGTCCGCAAGCACGAAACAAAGGGCACGAGCGGTTTGGACTACTCGACTCTCATTCGATCTTCAATAGCAATGAAGGCCGCTTGCTCCTCTCTGCTTCCTTTGATTCGTATATCTAAGTGATTCCGACAATGAAGGCCGATGGAAGAACCATTTTTCTTCAGAATTTCGGCAATGAAGGTCGATGGTGGGAACCAGTATTCCTCAGAATTCCGACAATGAAGGCCGGTGGTGAATTTCAACAATTAAGGCTGGTGGTGAGAACTGAATTCCTCAGAATTTTGGCAATGACGGAAACTTGTATTCCTCAGAATTCTAACAATGAAGGCTGATGGAAGGACCATTATTCGTTAGAATTCTGGCAATGAAGGCTGGTGTAAGGCCCAATATTCTTCAAATTCTAGCAATGAAGGCCGATTTCTTAGAATTCCTGCAATGAAGTCCGGTTGCTCCTCTCCGCTTCCTTCGATCAAGGCTCTAATACCATGTTAAATTCATAGAATTGGAGAGGGAAAGGCTTAATTTTATTATAAAAAATATTCTTATTTATAGATCTATATAATATATTTTAATAAAGAAACAAATAAATATGGAATCATGCATAATTGCTCTAATATAATCCTTCATAAATCAGCCACCCGAATATGGGAGGAGATCGGCGCAATCCAGGTGAGCTTTTCATGGATCTCCATCATGGCCGTAGGATCAAGGGCTAAAGGGACGACGGAGATTTAATAGCGTGATCCAGGTGAGCCTCCCATGGATCCTCATGCTGGCCGTGGGATCAAGGGCTAAGGGACGATTGAGATTTTAACAGTCTTGTACATTATTGTTTCTTCGCTGGGTATGGGTGTATCATAAAGCACTCATGGAATCTTTAAATGCCTAATGGTGCATGTGGCTGAAGCTTAACTTCTCACCTTCTTTCCCTCTCTCTCCCTTTCTCTCTCTTGCACACAAACTATTTTAAATTAAAATTTATCATTTCCATATAGTTTTATGATATTATCATCATTTATTATATTAGTTGAGTTTGTTTAGAACGCTTACATGCGTAGGATTTAATGGTGTTACATTATCAAAATAATCCACCGACAATCATATGAAAATTTAGCTAAACGTGATATAATTAGTGGAGTCCTGAAAATATTATTAAATCAACTTATCATTTCTAATTTTTATACTTCACCTGTGATCCTAGTTCATGAATATTTCAACTAATTTTGATTACAACTCTACTACAACTTTACTCTTAGAGATAGAATACGAAATTAGCATATACGTGAAAGGTTGAAGTAGCTCCAGTGGCAGATAAGATTAGTGAGAGTTGGCTTTGATGGTTTGGTCACATAAAACACCGGTAGGCAAAGCATTGTACGCTTTAAATCACTGTTCCATCCTCTCCATATTTTCTAGCTATTATGATGAAATATGACCGGTTTGGATCTGGTCAAGCCCTTTGGATTGGTGTCCCAGACCCCACTGCTTCTGTCCTTACTGTTTTTCCCAGCCTAACATCAGCTTTATGGATTCTAGAGAATATTGTATTGGCCACAACCTCTACCTCTTACCTTGGTTGGTGAGTATGATCCTTTTCTTTATTATGACCAGAAGATTAGAATGCTGTAACAATTCCAGCTACCTGGCAAGTTAACAAAAAAGAAAGTGCAGATTAATTGTTCAAGAAACAAGAAAGAAAACATAGGACAATTCTGATTTTAGGGAAAACAGAGAACCTGAAAGTGATTCGCGAAGGAACTTCAGCGCTAGCGAGACAAGAAACGGCTTGTGGAATGAGTGATTGTCTTCTTCCTTAGTTTCCTTAGGCTAAGTAGGAGTGCAAGGACCTTTAGCTTCATATCTTTCAGCCCAAGTGGATAGCAGCTGTCTTGCTTCCACCATGAAGCTTGGTGGCTTGTCTTTGTTTGATTCAGCCACCTGATTTTGGTAAGGATTCTTGATTAAAGAATGTGTTTTGGAGAGGTTCTTGCGCCGCTTAATTTCAAGATATGTGGCTTAGAACGTGTAAGGAACTGTTCTTGGGGAATCTTGTGTACCCCACTTGTCACCGGCCAGATTACTGTGCAATTCTGTCTGCTGCCCTTTGTTTGCAGCAAACCAGAAGGATGGCCTGCTGCTGAACACACCGTTGTCAGCCTCTCTTGACTGCAAGACAAGCATTCAAGATGGATTTGATTGATGTTGGCAGAGTCCTAACCACACTGCAACCCCTCACGTTCCTCTTCTCTCAAGTTTATTGGAAATCCACCCCAAGTAAAAGAAATCATTCCCTTCTCTCAATTTTTAAAATCTGAAAATGAAATGAACTCCCCTCTCTCAAATGAACAATAGATATTTATAAAAAGCCAAGGATTTAAAGAAGCAACAAATTATAATCCTACCCTTATTTAAAAATTAGCAAATAAAACTAAGAAAATAAAAGGAAATTAAATAATAAAAACCTAATGAAATAAAATGCTTAAAATTAAAACAAATAAAACCTTATCAAATAATGACTTTATACCTTCTGTGATAATCAATAATCTAACGTAATTGTTTAACAGCTACAACTTGCTCTCAATCCTCATCATTGACATCACTTTTATTGTGTTCTTCATCCTCTTTCTCCAACTACATTCCAGTATTTTTTGTTCAAGATTTTGTTATGTGTAAATTCTTGACTATTTACATGTCTTTAAATAGCTGAATTTTAATGTGTTTAGTATATCCTGAACATGATTCCATAGCTCCTGAACTTGTGACTTGGTGCTGGAGTACTTCTGATTTGTTGTAACTGTAGGCTATTGTTTTTTATTCTTTACCTTGCTACATTCCTTCATGTTCTTCAAAATTAGAACTTGCTAAACCCATTATTACTGTCGTCCCATTAACTGAATTTATAACTTTTAGTTGATTACTATTTTCAGGTTCCAAATGTCGAGGTGAATGCCCTTATGAAGACTTTAAAAATGAGACCATTAATGTTTCCTGTATGTTCATTCCTATGTTTTATGGTTGTAAGTTCTTTGATGAATTACTGATGTAACAATGTAAATGCTTTTCATAGTTTAGCTTGAGCATGCTTTGCGGCATTTTTTTTTATAGTAGAATGTCTTCCCTTATTGGGAGTGACTTTAGTGAATCTGTATGTTAATTTGAAACCTCCACCGGGAACATTCATGTTTATTTTCTTTCTGGCACTTGTCTAGCTTCTATAGAAGAAATGTGGCTAGCCTAAACATCCACACAACGCACACCACACTAGAAGAAATTGATTGATGATGATATTTCAATAGAGGTGTGGAAATGTTTAGGAGATGAAGGAATTTCTTAGCTTACAAAACTTTTTAATATTATTTTAAAGACTAAAAAGATGCCAGATGATTAGAGAATGAATGTGTTGATTCCTATTTTTAAGAATAAGGTGTTGCACTAAAGTGTTTGAATTATATAGGAATTAGGCTATTGTGTCATACATTAAAACTATGGGAGAGAGTTATTGAGCAAGTATAGGTTACGACGTGATACTTATGCTTCTCAAAATCAATTTGGATTCATGCCGGGTAAGTCTATTATGGAAGGTATACATTTATTGAGAGATTTGATGGAGAAGTATAGATAAAATAAGGAGGATCTACATATGATATTTATTGATTTAGATAAAACATATGATAAAGTTCCAAGAGAAGTGCTTTGTAGAGTTCTAGAAAAGAAAATATTTAATAATACTTATATTCAATAGACCTGTCAATTTCGGGTTACGGGTCGGGTTCGGGTCAACCCGAAATTGACCCGGTATTATTCGGGTTCGGGTCGACCCGACCCGTTTTTTCAAACGGGTCGATTTTCTGGACCCGAAACAACCCGAACCCGACCCGTTTTTGTAAACGGGTCGGTTTCCCGGACCCGAACCCGACCCGCTTCGGGTTCGGGTCAACCCAAACCCGAAAATTTCAGGTCGGGTTCGGGTCGGGTATTCGGGTCGGGTTCAATATTGACAGGTCTAATATTCAAGTTATTAAGGATATGTATGCTGGAGCTGTTACTTGTGTTCAAACACAAGTTGGTTTGTCCAAGTATGTTCCTATTTTAGTTGGATTACACCAATGATCATCTTGATGTAATCTTTTTGCTTTAGTCTTAGATGTTCTTATTAGTCATTTGCAAGCGGATGTATCATGCTGTATATTTTTTGCTGATGATATTCTTCTTGTTGATAAAACTAGAGGTGGAGTTGAAGGAACACTTAAATTATGGAGATCAACCCTAGAGTCTAAAGGTTTTTGTTTGAGTAGATCTAAAATTAAATACATGGAGTGTAATTTTAGTACTAATAGATCTAGTGGGAGGATTGTGACTTTAGGCGATCAAGTTATTAATAAGAGTACACATTTTAAATATGGTTATTGTTCAAAATGATGGTGAAATAGATGGGGTTATTATGCTGATGATATTCTTCTTGTTGATAAAACTAGAGGCAGAGTTGAACGCTTAAATTATGGAGATCAACCCTAGACTCTAAAGGTTTTTGTTTGAGTAAATCTAAAACCAAATACATGGAGTGTAATTTTAGTACTAATAGATCTAATGGGAGGATTGTGACTTTAGGCGATCAAGTCATTAATAAGAGTACACATTTTAAATGTCTATTGTTCAAAATGATGGTGAAATAGATGGGGTTATTATTAGTATAATTCAAGTTGGATGGTTGAAGTGGAGGAATGCATCAGGTTTGTTGTTTGAACGAAAAGTACCCTTCCATCTTAAGAGAAAATTCTATAAGATGGTGATGAGACCTGCAATGTTTTATGACTTAGAATATTGGCCATTAAAAGAGAAGCATATAATTAAGTGTTGCAGAGATGAGGATTCTTAGGTGGATGAGTGGCTTCACTCTTAGAGACAAAATGCAAAATAAGCATATATGTGAAAAGGTTGGAGTAGCTCCAATGACATAAAATTAGTGAGATAGTCGCTCTATATGGTTTGAACACATAAAATGTCAGTCTCTGATGACTCGTTTAGGAGGGTAAATGTATTATATTTGAGCTATGTTAAGAAGGGTGGGGTAGTGGTTAAAAAATATTAGAAATGACATTTTTTATTAGATTTAAATGAGAATTTGACTCTTTTAACATGACACAATGGAGAAGAATGATTCATGTAGCCGAGTCCATGTTGTGGGATAAAGGTTTAATGTTGTTGTTATTAAATTAATCCATGAGTAGGCTTGGGCATATTGAATTGAAAAATCTGATTTTGGCACCTCTCTTTCAATTAAGCAAAACTTGGTTGTTTTATTTTTTGTTTTTTTCCTTTTAATAGTCTTATGAATTATTGACTCTGTTCTGTCTTCTGATGTTAAGTCAGGTGTGTCCATTTAAAAGCTTTTCTACACCAATTTTTAATCAACAGTGGCCACGTTCTTGATCTTTACTTTATTTATTAATTGTTTTTTGTGTTGTTCACCTTAGAAAAATTGAAATATTTAATAACCTGCTTATGTTATTAACCTTTTGCAGCTATGAGACCTGTTTTCTTCTATTTATCTTATTTCAAGACCTTCTCTATCTAGTTTTAGATAAATTGTTTCTTTGGTGCAGTTGGCTGGCACAATAACCGCCATATTCAATTGTCAAGGTCCTTTGGATGCTCCTTTGTTTGTAGGAAGTGGAAACATCTCTAGAAAGGCTTATTATTCACTTTCTACTTATCAGCCATCTGCTGCATCAGAAGCAGTAACTAAAAATAAAGATGCCGGCGCAGTGGCTGCATTTGACCATATTCCATTTTCTCACGTATCGGCTAATTTTACTTTCAATCTTGATAACAGTGTATGTGCATGGATTTTGAATATTTGCATTAAACTTCATTGTTGATTCTGAACCTTTTATGAAAATAAGTTGATACCACCAGGTTGTTGATCTCTATGGTATAAGGGCTACACTCCTCGATGGTGGAGAAATTCGTGGTGCTGGCACTGCATGGATTTGCCCAGAGGTTGATGCTTGTTAAATGGCAGTGTACTTCTGTGTATATTACTGGTGCATCTTAAATTTTATTTTTCATTTTTTTTCCTTTTAATCAGATTTAGGATCTGTTAATATAATTATATATATTTCTGTTGTTCTCCATTGCTATTTGATTAATTGTTCTGATATCTGCTCCTGAGGAAGGGAACTGTGTTGTGTAGAATGAATGACAAACTAATACCCTGTAAACCAGTTTAAATAACAACTCCATGTTGTATTGCCCTTACACCATGCACATATTTGCGGTTACATGTTGATCAGTCATGCATGAAATATGTGTTGAAGGGAAGTCTTTTGCTGGTATTCCTTCTTGTCACTTTATTTATTTTGGCAAAATTTTGATGTCTCTAGTATACTTATTCTTTACTAGTATAATTAATATTCGTATTTCATTTTCTTAAATTTGGAAAGTGTCACAGGTCTTTCTTGAAAATTTTATATGCTCTTTAGCATAGTAGATAAGGTATGGTGTAAGTGTTATTCTTTTAAGTTTTTTTTTTTAATTAATGATTTGGATATGCAAACTATGCATGGAATGCAGCATAATTGGAGCATTTGCATATTTGAGTATTTGATGTGTAGACAACTAAAAAGAATTTCAGCATACCTTATCTAATATGTATGCACGATTTGGTCTCTTTAGAAGAATATATATATATTGGAATCTTTTCCTTAAATGCGCATTAAAATAACATAAGAATGGAAGAGATGCTAGGAAGGATTGTGGGCTCTAAAAAGCTACTCCTTGGTTTGACAGAAAGCAAAGTTGTGGTGAACGGTTTTAAGAGATAGATTAAACAATAATAAAAGATTTCTTAAAAAAATTTCCCTCTTTTATGATTTATATGTCATAGTGGCCCTAAAATATCTTCTAGGCTTGAAAATTGCAAGATCAAAGAAAATTATATCCGTCTCTCACAAAAATATATAGAGGCCTTGCGTTTGCTTGTATTGACTGATCGAACAGGAGTCTGTTCAGGTGGAGTCGGACGACTTGGGAATGAGGAGATCTGCGTGCTGAGTGTTAAGTTGCTTGAGACGTGTGTTTCTGCTCTGTCCTTGAAGCTTGCCACAACCCTAACACTAATTTGTTTTCCTTTTTTACTGCCGTGCCTTCCCTTGAGAACCGATAAGGAGACGGAGCCGAATGATAATTAATCAACTTTCCCTGCTATCCTACCACAGACCTTTATTTCCATTTCCGGTATCCTAAGGGCTACTATCCAACACAACCTTCATTGCTGCCCTGCACCTTGAAGGATTGATTAAGATAGGCTTCATCGCTATCCTTTGCTGCAACAATGTTTGATGCTAATTCCTCCCAAAGTTTTGATCAAATGAAGGACTCTATGGGCACCAAGTGACTTGATAACTCTATTTTTTTGTGACTAATTACCAAGCTGGGAATGACATATCTATATTCTTCAGCGTGAGGGGGAGTGTTAAAATCCCAGCATCCCTTGATACTGGATCCCACGACTAGTATGGGACTCCGTGGAAGGCTCATCTAGATCATGCTAACCTCTGTTAAATCCTAGCTGCCCCTTAACACTTAATCCCACAGCCAGGATGGGAATCTGTGGGAGGCTCAACAGGATCACGCCGATCTCCTTTCATATGTGGGTGGCTGATTCAGGAAGGATTATATTAAGGAAATTATGCATGATTATGTAGTTATTTGTTTCTTTATTAAGACATCTTGTATAGATATATTAGCATGGATTGTTTTGTGTAATAAAATTAAGCCTTTTCCCTCTCCAATTCTATGAATTCTAATAGTATAGTAAATCTTAACTTGTTACACATTATGCGTTTTGATAAGTTTTGACTTTAGTTAATTAGTATTTTTTCTAGTTGATTTTGAGGCTGACGAATGCTTGACCTGGTTGACTGGTATTCTATCAGGACATTTGGAGAGATTGTTGCTTGACAAATTAGATTTGTTGATTCTCTAGGTTGAAAATTGTAGGAAAATGACTTTTAACACACGTTTAGACCTCCCTTGACCAATTTCTCTCTTAGGGGCATCGATGTAGACCTCCCTGGGTGAATTGGTCTGAACTAGCTTGCCTTTATCATGATAATTTCTACTTGGGAGCTTCTATGAGGTCAGAAAAGATGCGATCAAACTTCTTAGAATGGGTTAATACTAATGATATTCATTCCCTCAAAATTTACCAATGTAGTGCTTTATCTCTCCCACCTTTTTACCTTCTTGTTTTTCAGTCTCCTACTATAATGTTGTTTGTAATGCGTTTTGTTTCATCTTTTCCTATAATTATCTAGTCAACTATGGGGAAGTATTTCCATCAAAATTTGGAGAGGGAGAGGAAATAAAACAGTAGAAAGAGTACATTATGCCTCAGGAGATTAAAGCATAGAGGATAGTCCTGCAATCTTCTGTATTGAGGAGGTTTATTGATACAAACAATTCTAAGAATTGTTAAAATCTTAAATCCTATAAGTTTTTTGAAAGTTTCCAAGCTATAAATATTTCTATATTTTCTGCTATAATTGTGTAATTTAAAACAATATGAAGGTATGATGCTACCGAGAAATTTCATTGAAATAGATTGGCTGCAAATCTAGTAGAATACTGAGTTTTCTGGCGTTAAGTTTCCTCTGTAAGTATGGCGGTCTTTCATTCATGCGAACAAATTACTTATTGTGATTGCTGTTATGTGCAACTTACCATTATTGTTTACTTATCTTGAGGAAGCTCCTAATCATCTGTCTTCCCATAAATCTTTTGAGTTTCTAAGACTGTTGGTTTCTTCAAAAGCCTTCTTAGCATTATTATTGCAATGGTTTCTATTAAAAGGAAATTGGCAAAGCATATTCTTCATTGAGACAACATAATCATGCATATGTTTTATTTTTATCAATGGAAGGAAATTTTTTAGAGTCTCCAATTAGCATGGATGATACAGCCGTGATTTCATAAAGTTCTATTTTTATAGCTGTAACTTTTCTTTACTTATTCCCACTAGAACTTTGTAGGGGGAGGTTGATGATACAGCAATGGATGTGAACTTTTCTGGAAAATTTTTGTTTGACAAAGTCTTACAGCGATATTTGGCTGAAGGCGTTCAAATGATTCCTTTCAAAATTGGGGAGGTCAATGGGGAGACCAAGTTGTCTGGGCCCATTTTGAAACCGTAAGTTTTTGAAATATGTTGGAACTGATTGGAATTGTTTTGTGACATTTTCAGTAAAATTGCGATTTCTTATTACCTTATGGTTCTTCTCAGGAGATTTGATATAAAGTGGGCTGCACCTGAAGCTGAAGATTCATTCACTGATGCACGAGGAGAGATTATAATTTCTCATGAGTTTATCACAATCATCTCATCGGCAGTTGCCTTTGACTTGAATACTAAAATTCAAACTCTTTATGTTGATAAAAGTTTGCAGCTGGAAGAAAATTTAGAGTATCGGCAAACTATGGCCACTTTTATTATAGAGGCAATTGAGCTGGATTTACGGATGCGTGGTTTTGAGTTAGCTAGTTTTGTTTCAACTCCTTTTGAAGCACCTAGGCCGCTTCATTTGAGAGCAACTGGAAGGTTTAAACTTCAAGGAAAAGTTGTAAGGCCGAACAGAAGTATTGATGGGAAGGAACCAGGATCTTGTGGGATGCCATACCTTCACATGGTTGACAGTGACAAACCAAGGCTTTCTGGAGAGGTTTCCCTATCTGGAATCAAGATTAACCAACTTATGTTGGCACCTCAGCTGGCTGGTTCTCTCTCTATATCACATGATGCTATAAAGGTTTAAATAATGCTGCGAGCCTTTTCTATTTTTATTAAGTACTGAATAGCATATGTCATATTGATGTTCTATTGACAGATAAGCTAGATTTAAGATCTTCTTTGAGGCCCTCTATGGTGGTGAAGCTGAGGGTTTCTTCCTTCTATGAACTTGAGTGTAATGGAGCGCTCAACATAAACAAATTGGGATCTTTCTTGATATATTTCATATTTTTGAAAGAGTGGGTTAGGAAGGTTTATTACTATTTTTCCTTTATTTTTTAACCAATATAGTGAATGCTAATTACGCAGAAAAGTTCGTTTTAACTTATGACGCTAATGATATTCCAGGAGTGGATATGATTGTAAAGTTTAGCATTTAGCATATTCCTAGATTTCTTTGCCTTATATTTTTTTCCGTTCCGAGTTTCTATTGAAAGGCCAATAAATCTTATTTGAAAATTTGCATAAGCTTATTATATCCCTGTTTTGAAGATGTAGATTGCCTGAAACATTGCCAAAAGTATATTCCAACTATGATTTATCATGTATGCAGGATAGGATTGAATCCTCTTTAGAGCATCTTTGGTCTCTTGTATATCATTCCAACTGTTTTAACAATAAGATTATATTTATTGATATATCAAGTGCCCAATTTTCCATGTTACTTGAAAAGTTGAATTTTATGTTTACCATTACAAATCAAAGTTAAGAGTTCATCAACTTTACAAGGACAGTTTGGCTATGGAAAGTCAAATATGAATTAGTTGTGCTTAGAAAAACGGGTGAATGGAAGATAAGTTTCTTCTTTATGCAGATATTTTTTGAGAAGGTTTTATTGTTTTTGAGTATACATAAAGCATGTTAGACCGTCTTTTGTTAGGCCGGCCTAAGAGGGGCCGGCTATCCCTATTGAATTGGTCTCTAATGGACCAATTTTATACTATGGCCGTCGGCCCAAAGAAGGGAGAGGGAAGGGGCCGGCTGCTCCTATGGGGCCCACACCTTGATTAATAATTGCTAAGGGAAATATTTGAATGAGGGGCTGTTTAGGGATTTTGTATTTCTCATTCGGCTTTAATTAGTTGCTAATGCTAGAATTAGGGTTTCATCTGGAGTTTAAAATCAAATTTGAGACTAGGGTTTGTTCCTTTGGGCTCTAGGCTTGCCTAGAGATTAGGAGAGTTGTTTCTTCCTCTAGAATTGAAGAAACTTATATCGTTTATTATTTTCCTTGTTCGTGGATTGAATAGAAGAAGTTTGCTTGTGTTTTTCTCTCCAATTTCCTGAAAATTCTGCATCGGAGTGCTGATTTATCTCTGACATCAGCAGTTTTCTCTCTGTTTTTCACCAGTTACTGTTAGGTTTGCTTGCAAACTCAAGTGTTTCCCTTAGGGTTACTTGCGAACTCAAGTATTTCCTATCATCTTTCTAGGCTAAGTTTATGGATATGTGTGGTTGTTGTTGTTGTTGTGGAACTAATGCCGTTGTGACAAATCCTTTTTATGTTGCTGTTGTATTTCAGAAACATGCCAACTCTACTGGTAATCCTTTTTCTTGACTGGTGGCTTATAATTTACAGTTGGATGCCATGGGTAGAGCAGATGAAAATTTATCCATCGAGGTCATCGGGCCAATAAGTCATCGAACTGATGAGACCCCATATAACAATAAATCATTATCTATTTCCCTTCAGAAGGGACAACTTAAAGCTAATATTTGTTACCAGCCTCAACAGTCTGCTAATTTGGAGGTGCATCAATATTTTTTTTCTTATTAGTTAGTGAAATTCATATCTGTTGTATCATTATTCTCTTAAGCAGCAGCAGTAGTTGTTGATACAGTGGTTTAGATGATCATATAATATATTCTGAATTTGTCTTTTGGATAGGTAAAAAACTTACCACTTGATGAATTGGAGCTTGCTTCTCTTCGTGGATCTATCCAGAGGGTGAGATTTTTACTGCCATTATTGTTTGATTTCCATTCAAGTAATTATGATCAATTTTGTATCACAACCCATAAATCTTGAAATATGAATTTGGAACAGCATAGTTTGATATTTTACCTGGTATATCTATAGAACCAAATTTCCTTTTGATAAGATCCTCTCTAGATATGGACGGATTCCTTTTTTAAATGCAAATCATTGGATAATCCATTTTGTGGGCTATGTGAATATTTCGGAGATGTTGTGTTAATGTAAAAATTTTGAACAGATCACATTAATCCTTCTTATTCACATTCACGCTCATCTTCGTTGTAAGTGATTATTTTCTCTCTTAGGGATTGAGATGAATAATGTATTATCTTTGTTTGTACGATGGACTTTCTGATGGGGACATCAGTTGGAAAGTCTATCGTCGACGTGGCCGTAGATCAACGGCCACGATTTATCCTAGGTACTTTTGATTTTATTATTGTCTATTTATTGATGTAATTTTTTTATTTTAGCATTTTTCCTTTTTACCCTTGCTGCAGGGATTGAGTCATGTAGCCCATTGAGGTTATTTGAGTCCTTTTGCTTTAAGTCATTGTAAGAGGCTATTTATAGCCTTCATATTGTTATTTTGAATGTTAATGAATGATTATGAAGAATTTTTACTGCATTCGTTTTCTTCAAGCTTGTGTGAGAGCTTGAGAGAAAGTTTGTGAGTTGGTGGAGCCTAGGAGAGGCCACCTGTCGTACCCAACAGTCACCACCGGTGGTTCTTGGTCCTCCTCCCTTTTCCCCTCCCTTCTCCTTCCTACCATCATCGTCCATCTCCACCGCCGACCTCATTCCATAACCCCATCTCCCCAAGCCCCCCCCCAACCTAACCACCAACCCAATCCCTTTTTCTACATTGGCTACTCCACCCGACCCACACAAGCCAAACCCGCCGCCGGCCACCCTTGTTTGCCTCCATGAACGAAGAGTTAATGCCTCCTTAATGCTTACCTAAAGAGTTTCAATAATTTGGGAAATTATTTTCATCATTTGAAATTCAAATTTTGAATTTTAAATAGTTTCCTAAATTAGAGAGCTATTTTAGGAAAGTATTGACTCTCATTCATGACTATTTTCAAATTTAATTTGGGCGGAATTTTTCTTCTCCAAAACTAAAGAGACCAATTAGGAAGGGAATTTAAATTGCTCCACAAAACCCTCTCTCCCTCCCTCTACATGCCGCCGGCCTCCCCCTTGCTTGGGCCCCCTCCATCAATGCTCAGTTAAGGCCATTGATTGTAATTAATTTAAAATCCAAATTCAAATTAATTCCCTCCACTTTTACTCAAAATCTGAATTTATTTTCAGATTTTGAAATTAGATTTCCTTCACCTTCTTTTAACCTAAGCTCTCCAAACCCTAGCCCTTCCCCACCTCCCTACACCGCCGGCCCTCCTCCTCACCTCCACCTCCCTCCTACTTCTTCTCTCTCGCGTTCTCTCCTCATATGATTATGATGCTTGACCGATCCGGAGTTTGATTCTGGCTTCGCATACGACGGCCAAGGCATCGTGGATCTTCTCAAATTGTCGTTCGTTGACGTGAGTCCATGCATTGACGGATCCATAGAAAGTCCGTCGATCACGTGATATTCGATTTGACCAAGCCTTTGGAGGATCAACTATTCGAAGGTACGTGGTGAATCAAGATGTTTCTCCGAGAATGTGTTCTTCTTCCTTGACTCGTGTACTTTCATATTCTACTTACTTCGTAGAGAGATTGTTCAAGCAAGAGATTGTGTCTACTTATCGCCATCCACTAGTAAGCGTAGGATTGTTACTTCTTTGCTTTTGGATTTCATTGTTAGGCCAAGGTTATGTTGGAAACTACTCCGCATGCAACGCTTTGATTTTCTTAAATGTTTTGATTTCACTTAGTCTCTTGCGTAGCTTAGCCTAAACGGAAGTCACCACTTATTAGTTTTATTTTGTTGTTTTAGTTGCTAATAACGAAAATCCAAAATTGTTCTTTTAACCATTTTGTGCAATTTTCCTATTTCGCATTTTAGTCCTGCATCACTTTCTATGAAGTGTAATCTCTCCATGCACCCCATTTCATGCTTAGTAGATTATTTGATCTTTGTATAATTGTGTACATATGTGAATCTCATTAAACAAAACAAATTTGGTTGTGCTCTTGATTTTATTGTTTTTGCTCAGTAGATTTCACGTCTTTTCATATCATACATTGTTTATTGTTATTTTCTTCTAGCATTATCATTTAGAGGAAATTTTATTTTGTCATTTGTGAAATAGAGAATTGGTTTATGCTTGTTTCATGGAGACAGAAGGATGCATGGATAATGCTAGGAGTTAGGATTGAATTTGTACATATTGAGAAGGAAAAGGTTAGGCTAAAGCTAAAAAAAGGTTGGGCAAAATGGTTGTCTTGAGGAAGATGACAGTAAGCAAAATTCCTCATTTATTTAGATAACATCAGGGAGAATAGGACGAAAAATTCCACTCCATCCTACAACTTTTTAATATATAATGATAAAGATATAGATATGATGGGAATCATCATAACAATGATCTAATTTATAGGGATAAATTTGGGAAACAAAATTTTATACCACAAGTGTTTGATTGTATTAATTATGTAAAATGAGGAATGATTTTTCCCAGCCATCGAAATTGTGTCTTTGCCATATGGAAGGTATTTATTTTGTGTTCATGAAATAATGGTTAAAAGTACAATAAAATCAAGGCTTTATATTCCTCTTCAATTTTGACCTGAATATTAGCTTATATAGGGATTTAAATGGTCATAGAGTGATGTTCCTTATTTATGCTAAATGTATCTGCTGCTTTAGATGGTGATACTTTAAAAGGTTGTTACAGATCTTTCAATCACATCTACAAAGACTTTGTGGTACATTCATGTATAACATATATGAAGAAATGTCTCCCAAACCAAGAACATTATAACTGCCGCCCTTTTGATTAGCTCATCTCGCTTTTGGTGGTACAAGTGATTAGTAACTTTAACTTCAATTCCATAGGCTGTCCCTTTTTGGATAAGGAGGTTCTTATCATCATCTCCCATTAGTTAAATTAACATTTTCCATCAAATTTGCCAATCATATTTAGGGTGATGGTTACCAACTTCTATGCACGATATATTCACCATCTCTTACATAAAGTAGCTATTTGATAGGAAATACTTGAGTACGCTAGCAAACCTAGCAGTGATTGATGAAAAACAACAAGAACACTACTGATTACAGCAACAATACAGCAACCTTCTTGAAAAATATGGAGAAAACTAAGAGAAAAATGAAGAATTCCACTAGCCGATGCAGGAAAACAGAAAACAATACAAGTTTCTTTAATTCGTGAGGAAGAAACATGTTACGCCGGCCCATCCTGGGCCGGCTGGACCGGTCCACCCTGGACCGGTCAGGGTTTACTCCCGGCGGAAGAAACCCAGCCAGGAGCTGGGCGGAAACCCCTAGGGGGGCCCACTTGTTGTATTTTGAGTTTTGGGAGGGAATTTTTGAATGAGAAGGGTAATTAGGTAAATTGTAATCCTCCTTTCATGTTTAATTAGGAGGAATAGGGGGAAGAGAGGGTTATCTTGAATTTGAATCATTTTTGAGATCTAGGGTTTGTGTTCTTGGGCTCTAGGCTACGGCTAGAGATTTGGAGAGTTTTTCCTTCCTCTCGAATTGAAGGAAAGTTGTATCTTGCAAGTGCTTTTCATTTCTCATTAAATAAAAGTGTTTGCTTTGTTTCTCTTACGTTTTCTCCTTCATTTTCTCTCCGAATCCACTGTTTTTGGCTGTTTTCTTGTGTGGACAGCAGTTTTCATCCTAGATCTACTTGGTTCTTGGTGTGAAACACTTGGAAATCCAAGTGTTTCCTATCAAACTAACTCTCCAAATCTCTAGCCAAGCCTAGAGCCCAAAGGAACAAACCCTAGATCTCAAATTTGATTTCAAACTCAAGATGAAACCCTAATTCTAGCATTAGCAACTGATTAAAGACAAAGGAAAAATGCAAAATCCCTAAACATCCCCTCATTCAAATATTTCCCTCCAAAGCAATTATTAATCAAGGTGTGGTCCCCATAGGAGCAGCGGGCCCCTTCCCTCTCCCTTCCTTGGGCCGACAGCTGTAGAATATACCCAGTCCAATAGGGACCGGTTCAATAGGGATAGCCGGCCCCTCTTGGGCCAACTTAACATTACTCCCCTGCCAAAGACTCACCTTGTCCCAAGTGGCATCGAAATCAGGAAGTTCCTTCCATCTGATAAGCACTTCATTGTTTCCCTTTTTTTTTGGATATGACTCCCCCCCCCCCCCCCCCCCCCCCCCCTCCCCCCGCCCCCAACTCCAGTGGTTCTAAGACCATTTCCAAGTCCTCTGTCAGTGTAATTGACAACTCTGTACAAACTGCATGCTCCCATAGAGCTCTTCTCAACTGTGATACATGAAAAACTGGGTGTATGGTGGCGGATAGGAGCAACTTAAAACTATACGCCACTGCTCCAATCTTATCCAAAATCTCATAGGGGTCAAAGTACATCGGAGCCAATTTGTTGTTTCTCCTTTTGGCAACTGATCTCTGCATGTAGGGCCTTAGTTTCAAGAATACTTTCTCCCCAATCTCAAATTGTATGTCCCTCCTATGTATATCTGTCTGCTTTTTCATGATTTGTTGTGTCCTAGACAGATGTTTCTTCAATTCCTCCAGCACCTTATCCCTTTCCTCTAAGTACTGCCCAACTAAATTAACTGGTGTGCTCGCCCTCCCAAAATGCAATAAGTGTGGGTGGTCTCTTCCATACAGGAGTCATCTGAGATGTAGAATGGTACGAAGTATTGTATCAATACTCGGCCCATGCTAACCATTTAGCCCACATCCATGGATTTTTCAGAAATAAAACACCTCAAATAAGTCTCTAAGCTTCGGTTCACTACCTCTGTTGGACCGTTTGTCTGCGGGTGATATGTGGTGCTTCTCTTAAGACCAGTTCCTTGCAACCTGAACAACTCATGGGAGTTGATGGGGGTTCGTCAGGTAGATGAGGGATTCAAGGAAGTCCTGATCAAATTGAAGAGCTTACTGGGCTACGATGCTACATGGGAGCCTTATGAGAGGGTGAAGCATCAATTTTCCTCCTTTCACCTTGAGGACAAGGTGATTCTTTGGGAGGGGGTATTGTTAGACTGGTCCCTATTGGAGTGGTCCAACCGGCCCTTAGTAAGGGGCAGGTTGAGTTCTACAAGAGGCAGACCAAAGCTGGTCCGCCCTCTTGAAATTGCCGCCCAAGCTATGGGTGGGGCCCACTAGGAAGAGTAATTAGGAAGGAGGGGGCTGCTAGGGTTAGGGGATTGGTATATGCTTTATGTTGGAGAAATATAGGAGGATTAGGGTTATGTATGATTATTGTAGTTGTTTTCATCTTGGAGTTGGTGTCTTGGGCTCTAGCGGGGTCTAGGGATTTGGAGAGATAGATCCTCCTCTCGAATTGAGGATTGACTATATCTTGGTATTTTCATTCCATTATCTTTGGTTATTGCAATAAAAACTACTGTTTTGTTGTTCTCCATTGGAGTTGTGGATTTTCCTTGCTGTTTTTTTTTTTTATCAAGGTTGTTAGGTTTTACTTGAGATCCTCAAGTATATCCTATCACAATGCCATTTATATCACTTGAACAGTTTTACTAGAATTCAGATTGTAAGAAATGCCATCTATTTTATAAGCAATTTTTCCATAGAAGTCGTTCATACTGTAACCATGAATCTTTTGCAGCAAGGACTTCGTCTATAGAAGTTAATAAAATATTTTTGAAGTGTGAATTCTCAGGGTTTTCTTGTCCGTCTTTATGGTTATACCTGCTACCATTATGTCTTATTAGATTATTGAGAAATAGTGATTAAATTATCTTAACGTAAAGTGGTTCTATTACCTAAACTTTTTAATTTATTTCCTCTTTTCTTTGCTATCTGCCATCCTTTGTGCTCTCTTTTCTCTAACTCATAATAGTAAACGCTTTCTCACTTTTTCTCTCTCTCTCAATGTTTTGTGGAAGGCTGAGATCCAGCTTAATTTTCAGAAGAGGAGAGGTCATGGAATATTATCGGTGCTTCATCCAAAATTTAGTGGTCTGCTGGGGGAAGCACTTGATGTTGCTGCCCGATGGAGCGGTGATGTTGTGAGTAGCTTCTTTCGTTTGACTGCATTGTTGTTTTAGTGCGCACAGTTATTACCTAAATTATGTACATCATTTTTTTCATGTAACAGCATAATTCTTTGGCTCTTTTATTTCAACCAGAGAAGTATGAAATTATCATATGTGATGGAAAGTTTTGTAGTCTATTTAATCCTGAAACTTTCTTACGAACTCAAATTTCTGTTCTTGTTTCTTGTGAATAGCCTCATGGTCTGTTTGTTTTCAAGTGCGCTCAACATCTGTGAGGAACTATTACTAATTTTAGTGTGGAACTGTAACTTATAATTAAATTAAAGAAGCATCATAGAAAATTTCCATGAATTGAGAATAAATTTTAGGAATAGTAATAAATATTTGTTAAATGCTTATTAACATGAAAGAAAATTCTTTTAATCTCTTTAGCCCCATAATTACTTGTTAAACATTCATTGGTGTGAAAAGGAAATTATTTCAATTTGTTTAAGCACAATTGTCAAGGAAGATGGATGCATTTTTTTTAATCTTTTCTGGAGTAATTTGGAAAAATATACACTTGGTGAGATTATGGCCTATTTGCATGACGCTGGTAAAGCTGCGTGTATCAACTCATCCCTAGATTATGCCTTTGAAAAAGCCTTGTACATTAGGTTTACGTTTTTTATAGTATGATGATTTACTACAGACCTAAAAATGATAGATTCATTGAGCATTGGATGCAAAATAAATATGTGAGATATTATATGATACATTGATATTTACGAGTGGTAATATATCTATTGATGAGGTCGTGGCTAAAAAATTAATAGGATTGGAGATAGAATTATAGCTTTAAAGATTGTTGTTGATGATAAGATTGTTAATATTAAAAGTGCTTATGCTCCTCAAGTTGGTTTGAATATGAGTTCTAAATTAAAATTTTGGAATAATTTAGAAGAATTAATACAAAAGATACCTCTTGAAGAAAGAGTTTTTATTGGAGGAGATTTAAATGGACATGTTGGTACAGAGGTTGATGATTTTAAAAGCATTCATGGTGGCCATGGATTTGGAACGATGAATGAAGGTGACAAGACCATATTGAATTTTTGTTTAGCTTATGATTTTTTAATTGCTACTACATTATTTAAGAAAATGAATGAGCATCTCATCACTTATAAAAATGGATATAGTACAATCCAGATTGACTATTTTCTTATTAGAAAATTAAATCGTTCAGATTGCAAAGATTGTAAAGTTATTCCGAGTGAAAATTTATGTACCCAACATCGATTATTAGTTTTGGACTTTAAAATAAATGGGCATAAAATAAAAAATAAAGTAAAACGATTTTCTAGGATTAGATGGGGGCATTTAAAGAATATTAACAAAAATATTTTTGAGAATAAGATTTTAGATCTTAGGATTTTGTCTGTGCATGAGGATGCTAAATGTGGGAAAAAGTGGCTAGTGATATTAAGAATACTTCAAAAGATGTCCTTGGAGTATTAAAGGGAAAAGCTCATAATAGTAAAAATAGTTGGTGGTGGAATCCAAATGTTCCAGAAAAGATTAAAAAAAAAGTTTTGTTATAAAAATTGGTTTAATTTTAAAAATTCTGATAAGTGAAAAATATATAAAGTGGCTCGTAAGGATGCTAAGAAAGCAATATGCGATGCAAAGACATTAGCTTTTAGTGATTTATATAAAAGATTAGATACTAAAGAGGGAGAAAGATATATGTATAAGTTAGCCAAACAAAGAGATAGTAGTAAGGATTTAGTTCAAGTGAAGTGTATTAAGGATGAAGATCAAAAAATACTTTTCTTAGAAGATGATATTCAACAAAGGTGGTTGAGATATTTTGCTAAATTTTTTAATGAAGATTGTGAAAATAAGATTGACTATATTGACCTTAGCACCCTAAATGAAAATAAAGATTTATGCTTTTATCGGCGTATTAATAAAACTGAAGTTAGAGAGGCTTTAAAGAAAATGAAGGGTGGAAAAGCTGTTGGACCTGATGATATTCCAATAGAGGTGTGAAAATGCTTAGGAGATGAAGGAATTTCATGGCTTACTAAACTTTTTAATACTATTTTGAAGACTAAAAAGATACCAGATGAGTGGAGAATAAGTGTGTTAATTTCTATTTTTAAGAATAAAGG